TGCCTTCTGAGATCTCCTTTTAAATATGCTGCTTGTAAAGTTTACTGGACACTGCTCTGATGTTGTCTGAAACTGACCAGCAGGTATGTTGGCTCTGGGCTTCATGGTATGGACTCTGCATGGGCCTATGACAGATGTTCTCTGTGACTTGCCCTGGGCAACGTGTTTTGAATTACAGGTGATTGACAGTTTATGGCTGCCTCTGCTGAGCATGGGAAGAACCAAACTGCGCACCAAGACCAACTAATACCAGCACTGGGCCCTGGGTCAGGTCAAGAAAAGTCCCAGGGCATCCTGAGATCCATCCCCACCTATGTCCACCTGCTGGTTGCCTGTTAGGCCCAGTCACAGAAATAGACTCTTGCAAAGGTGGGAAGATGAGGCTAGTGGATGTCCAGTGAGAAACAAGTGTTTACTGGTCAGGCTTCAGGGAAGGTAGTGGGTGTAGTCCCCACTCCACAGCCACATGACTCAGCCTGTCCCAGATTTTTCCCAAACCTTGGCAGGACGGAGCAAACAGGAGCCAGGCAGATGGAGCCTCCAGAGCCCAGAGGGTGGTTACAGCAAATCTCCCAGGAGGGGGAGTGCCAATCACGTTCATGGGAAAGTGGGGGAAATGGCCCCCAACCCAAAGCCAGACAACTCAGTCACCAACACCCCCTGAATTTTTCCAGACCTAAGAAATAGCAGAACTGAAAAATGAATTCAGTAAAGTAGCAGTACACAAAATATATACCCAGAAATCAGCTGTATTATTATACACCAATAATGAACTATCAGAAAGGAAAACTAAGAAAACAATCCCATTCACAACTGCTTCAAAAAAATAAATAAATAAAATGCCTACAAATAAAATTAAGAATGTAAAAAACCTGGACTTGTAAGATTATGAGACAATGAAGAAAGAAACTGAAGAAAATACAAATAAGCAGAAGCATGAAACATGTTCATGGATAGGAAGAATTAACATCATTAAAATGTCCATACGACCCAAAGCAATCTATAGATTCAATGCATTTCCTATTAAGCAAGGTAACAACGGCATATTTCACAGAACCAGAACAAACATTCCAAAAATTTTTATGGAACAACAAAAGACCCCAAATAACATAAGCAATCATGAGAAAAAAGAACAAAGGTAGAGGAATCTCACTACCTAATATCAAACTATACTACAAGGACACATTAATCAAAACAGCATGGTACTGGCATAAAAACAGACACATATATCAATGGAACAGAATAGAAGACCCAGGAATAAACCCATACCTTTATAGTCAATTAATATTTGACAAAGGAGGCAAGAGCATACAATGTGGTTAAGACAGTCTGTCCAATAAATGGTGTTGGGAAAACTGGACAGATGCATGCCAAAAAATTAAACTAGACTGCCTTCTTACACCATACACAGTAAACTCAAAATGGATTAAAGACTTAAGTGTAAAATTTGAAACCATAAAAATAATAGAAGAAAACATAGGCAGTAAAATCTCGAACATTTCTTGTAGCAATATTTTTTCTGATGTATCACATCAGGCAAGGGAAACAAAAGAAAGAATAAGCAAATTGGGCTACGTCAAACTAAAAAATTTTTGCACAGCAAAGAAAATCATCAACATAATGAAAGACAACCGCACAAAATGGGAGAACATATTCACCAGTGATGCATCTTGAAAGGGCTTAACATTTAAAATTTGTAAAGCACTTATAAAACTCAACAAACACAAAATCAATCAATCAATCAATCCATTTAAGAAATGAGAAAAGGACCTGAGCAGACACTTCTCCAAAGAAGACATACAGATAGCCAATAGACAATAGAAAAATGTTCAGCATCACCAATCATCAGAGAAATGAAACTTAAAACCATATTAGACATCACCTCCCATCTGTCAGAATGGCTAGCACCAATAAATCAAACAGCAAGTCCTGGTGAGGATGTGGAGAAAAGGGAACCCCCTTATACACTGTTGGTGAAAATATAGTTTGGTGCAGCCACTGTGAAATCCAGTATAGAGTTCCCTCAAATAATTAAAAATGGAACTTCCTTATGACCCTATGATACCACTTCTAGGAATATATCTGAAGAAACCCAAAACACTAATTTGAAAGAATACATGTAGCCCTATGTTCATTTCAGTGTTATTTACAACAGCCAAGGTTTGAAAGCAGCCCAAGTGTCCACCAGTAGATGACTGGATAAAAACACTGTGGTACATTTACACAATGGAATTCTACTCAGACATAAAAAATAGGAAATCTTATTCTTTGTGACAGCATTGGTGGACCTGGAGAGTATTATTTAAGTGAAGTAAGCCAGTCAGAGAAAGACAGGCACTATACAATCTCACCAATTTTTGGAATCTGATCAACAAAATAAACTAACTAACAAAGCAGACACAGGCTTATAGATAAGAGAACAGGTTCACAGCTGTCAGAGGGGAGAGGGGTTGTGGTGCTGGGTAAAAGAGTTAAAGGGATTAATCAAAAAAGAAAAAAAAACTATCATAGAGACAACAGTATGGTAATTACCAGAGGGAAAGGTGGTCCAGGGAGTTAGAAGAGGGTATAGAAGGGGTAAACTGTAACAGGAGAAGACTTGACTTTTGGTGGTGAATACACAGTACAGTATGCCGATGATGTATTATAGAATTGTACACCTGAATCCTATATTAATTGTATTAATCAATGTGACCTCAGAAATACAATTAAAAATTTTGAAATAAAGGAAAGGCACAGAAGTGAGGATGTGTTTTAGAAAGAAAACGTTTGAAAGAATTATCTCTGCTTTTTGAATTTACTTGGAAAACTCTCCAGAAAAAAATCCATTTGTAATTGGAAGTCAGGCAGCATGCATATGCACAGTACTTCAGAGTTAACGTGTCAAATTGTTATTTTCTCTGACATGCTCTAATGAGCACACAGGGCTTGAGGGTGAGGAGTGGATTGGAAGGGACTTCGCAATTCTTAATGGGATAAATACCATACTTAAAGCCCATGCAGCTGCTTTCCTTTAGTGACTGGAAGTTCAGGGCTAATCATCAATGTCCTCACTGGACTAAATTTTTGAAAGAACATACCTATCTTTACTGCTTATAGCATCATTTTCCATCTCATATTTTCTTAAGCATTAACAGATGTAGTTTATGTATGATGTTATTCTGTTTTCCAAAAAGTTCTACAATACTAAGACTCTAACAAGAAAGGAGTGGTCTTTACACAGGGATCACACTGTAAAATACTTCCTCCCTCTAGTATTTATCTTGTAACTATTTCACGGTTTGGTTATTCCCCTACAGAAGCACACAAACCCACACACTCACACACAAATTCTCTGCCACCCATTTATTACCTAACGACATCTTGACTGCTTTATGTCTGCACAGTAGTCACGTTCCAAAGTTAACACAGGGATTTTCACATATTTTCTCTCAATATGTTTTAGTTCTCTTTTTAGGTTTAATTTCATAATCAACTGGGATTGACTTTAGTGTATGGTAAGAAAAAAAGATATCTAACCTTTAAAAGTGAATGGTCAACTGTTTTAAATATTAAGAAAACCATCCTTTAGCACTACTTTGAAATGCCACCTTTAACAATCATACAAACAGTAGGTCTGTTTCAGTCATTGCTAATGTGGAACAGTATCATACTACTTTAAGTATTTTAGCTTTACAGTATATTTTGTCATCATTACTATCTTTTAAAATAGTATAAATCACTCTTGTGCCCACATTATTCTTTAGAATTAACCTGTTCGATTTCCCTCACCTCTTAACCCAACCCACCACACACACAAACATACCCACACATAAATACAGCTGTGATTCTGATCAGCTGTGACTGACCCATCGATTTTAGAAATAAAAAATTAAGACCATGAATTTTCTACAACCCATAATTATGAATGTGTAATGTTCTTAAGGTTGTTTATGGATTTTCCTCTGAGGGTTGATTTGTCATGCATCAATTATATTATGAAATATTTGAAAATAACATTGTTTGATTAGGTTCAAATTTGTTTGTTGAAAATGCGTAGGAAAAAAAAACCTGTTAATTATGTTACTCAAAATCTTCATGTTTTTTTACTTTTTGTCTACTGAATATGACAATTTTTGAAAATACATATTAGCATCACCCATTTGGATATGGTTTTGTTAAATTTTCTTTCTTATTATAAGAGTTTAGGAATATGTTTTATGCTATATTGTTTGATGTGCCAAAGTCCTAACTATTAGGATTTCTACCAGATGATATTATATGTTAATATGAACACCTGTCTTTTTTCTCAATTCAGGGCATCAACACACACACACAAAAAAACTTTCAGAGACTGACATGGCAATTCTTTCTTTTATTATGTTAGCACTGCCTGCTAGAACTCACCTATTCCTTTCTTTCTAGTCAGTATTAGGATTTGTCTTCTCACAGGACATAGCTAGATTTGCACTTTAATTCATGCTGTGAGTTCTTACTTTTATTAAGAGAAATTAGCCTGCTATAATATGCTATAACTTATAATAAGTAAAATAGTTATGTGTTAAGCAACTAGTATATTTAGCTTAATTACTGACATTTTACTTTTTCCTGATTATGATATATTTTTATTGTGCTTTTGGCCCTTCCTATTTTTTTCTGTGCCTTCATCAAGTTTTCTTTTTTCTTTTTCACTTTACAGCCAATTCCTTTACATATATGTCAAACTACCAGACTCACCAACTTTTGGTCCCTCTTATTATGCAGGTAATAGAAAACTAATCTAATCTTTCTCTCTTTTTTATCCCTGTATGACCAAAAATAATCACAAAATAATCTATATTTGGAATTAAAAGCAGCAAGTCACCTTAAAAGTAAGACCACTGTGGAATTCAATAAACTTATGTAATATCTATATAAGCCAGGAAAGGGGAGGATAAGTTAACTTCATATTTAATTAGTAAGAAGTTAGTTCCATTTATCTTTCGAATATCTCTCCATCCTACAAAAGACAAAGCTCTTACCGTTTCTTTTGGAATCTGCATCTGGCTTGGCTCTGCATTCTAGAAGAATTGAAGAAAAACATAAATACAGACTGACCAAAGCCATTTTCAAAACACAGGGGCACAAAGCTTTACTTTGAAGAAAATTTTGCTGGTTTTTAAAATTCACATGATAGATAGAGGGTGATTATATTCTGGCTAAGGTATTAATCCGTCTTGTAAACTCTCATGGATCTTCTCATATTATCTTGTGTGGGTGTGCATTTTAAAACACTTTCTAGATGTAAGTTTTTACTTGCTCACAGTATATCAATTTATTATATAGAAGAAAACAGGTGTCACCAAATAGCTTTTCCATTCATAGTACTTTTTCTAATTTATTTTTAATTTTCTAAACTAAATCTAAGTTATAAGGTATACTCTAATTTGATAGCTAGACCAGGTAGTAACAGTGTGAACCAAAAGCATCAAAATATTACATGGGTATTAAATGTGATTTTTTTTTCCTCATATATTATAATGTAGCTTTACTTACTTAGGTAGTTATAAGGTTGATTTATTTAAAAGGCACATACTGATAAAAGTATTTCATTTTATCCACAGAATTTATATACAGACACCCCAAACAGAGGAAAATAGTTTGATAATTAGATTCAAAGATCATTTTAAATGCCTTCTTTTAAGTTTTCAGAATTTTATTCTTTTAAATCTTGACAAGAAGCTGCAGCATGATTAGTAATGAGTAACAGATTGACAGCCTATTGGCTCACTTCTTAACGAAAAACTCACAAGCAATAAATTAAATAACCCAGAAAAATAAGTAGGCAACAGAAGGGGAAAACAGAAGCCTGGGAGATCAAAATTGGACAAGAAGAACCTTAATAACCTTAAGTTGGCTATATACTGGCACTAACTTTGGAATGGCTGCCCAAGAGCAGTGCTGAAGCTTCGGCAATCTGACGATGCGATTACCCAGCTCACATATACTGAACCAAAGCTTCCTCAAATCATGTCTAAACCTCAATTTTAAGTGCTAATTTACAACTTATTAAGACATTTCCAGGTTACTGATCAGGTGGCACTTTAAATACAAAACTGGATAACAGTGGGGGGAAAGAGTAATGATTAAATATTTTAAAATCGATATTAAAAAGTTTTCTATAATTTTTCAAAATCTTAAAATAAGTGTTCATTTTTTCAGCTTTATCAAAATCTGATTTTCACAAAATCACAGAAAATTTTAGATCTGTTAGTTACCATGGGATGGGATATTCTTACAACTAAAATGTATCTGGCTTATAATTAGGAATACTTATTCACCACAACACATCCATATTTGAAGTATTAGCTAAAGAAATTTACGGCTAGAGGACAAATTTGAGACCTGTACCCCTAAAACCTTGCCACCCTAGCATATATGAATTGTTTTTTAGATAAAGCTAGAAGCTAGCTGAAAGAGATGCCAAAGGACCCAATTAGAATCTGTTTTGAAATATTTAAAATACCGCTTGTATTTGAAGTAAAACGATTCTTACCACATCATAAAATAACGGTGATTCCTCTAATTGTGCTGTTTTTATATAGAAATAAAACTTAGCACTTCTTGCGTAAAAACACTTAAAACTATGTCAATTTAATACACATATTTCCCTTGCACCAACACTAGATAAATACCCCCTGTAATATTTAGATGTGTTATATATGCATAAAAAGTGAAACAGTCTGCAAACAACTGCCTTTTCATTTGAATTGTCATTCCACATGTCTTTATCAGTATTTAATGGCCATGGTGCTTACTGCCACTCAACTCTTTTTATTTTCAATAATAATATTTAACAATGGTACTCTTTTTCACACAAAAGACAAGCATCTCTATTTGGGTTAGCTACATGGACTATGAAAATCTGAAATATGAAGATTTGTCACATGAATTGGAGAACATGGCAGGCTTTCAACAATTGTCTTTGAAGTGACAGTCATGAAATAATCTCTGCAGTCAATCAGTTCCTCTGAAGTCATTCAGTAATAAACATTTACTGTCCTAGGAAATATCCCTGCAATCTTATTTTTAAATACCCCTACACTCAATGTTGTAGAGATCTATTTCCAAAACTGAGGAAATATGAGAAAAGAATGCTTGTATTAAGTTAAGGCTGAAAGACATAAAATATGGACTGCTTGGAAAATGTCTCAATAAACACTGGCCCAAATAGGTAGCTAGCCCAGACCCCTTGCTCATGTAAATCAGAAATCTCCCATCTGCTCTAAATTTACACACCAGTTCCCTGGGGTGGAAGGCATCTTCTTGGCGAAAGACCAGAAGGCTCACAGTCCCTTCCATCTTGGTGCTTCTCAACAGGGAAACAACTTCCTCTTGGGATTTGCCTGCTAAATCTACTCCATTTACCTAAAACAAATTTTAAAAAAAGTTTTCAGCTGCAATCCTATGTAAACAGATAACAAAAGAAAAGACACATTCTAGAACTGATCATGTATGCTATAAAACGTAGCTCATTTCATGGTAAATTCTGCATGATTTGGTAATCACCAGGCTGCTGTGGTTCATAAAGAAATAAAGACCAGGTATTTAGAAGTGAGGCAGGAAGTAGTAAATCTTTTACTGCTTATCAATAAACCAAAAACTACAGCCACCAGAGTATTAACAAGTAACAAGTAGTAAACAAATATATCTAAAATGTCAACACAAAACTTCCTGGCTCTGAACTGAGATATCTTGACGGCCTTGTGTAGCATAGGTCTTTTTACACCAAAATAAAAAGTTGTGGCTTTTATAGGGGATAGAAAGAACACAAAACACACTAAAAATATTTTTGTATAAATATTTTAACTTTCAATGAAATTTTACCAAAAACTTAGGATGATAACCTTTTTTATTGGGGGCTGAGGGGAGTTGAGGGGTAGCGGGATCAAGCAAAAAAAAAGAACTCATGGACACAGGCAACAGTGTGGTGACTGCAGCGGGGAGCGGAAGAGGGTGTAAGGATAATAAATAGTAATGGAAAGAAACAATTAAAAATAACCTATTAAAAATAAAATTAAAAAAAATTTAAGATAATCTTTTTTTCCCTGAAAGACTATAATTAAAGAAGACTGTCTACAAATAATCATAGTATTTTTGAGGCATAGCAATATTTCACCTTAATGTTTTTCAATGTTTTAAGAATATTCTACCAAAACAGAGATTTGAAACAACCAAATTCATCAATTTTATTTTGAAGGAAGTATAATAACATTATCAGAAAGCACTATATATATATATATACATATATATGCATATATATACACACACATATATATATTTAATGGAAATGAGAGTCGAATTTACTTTTCAAAAGTACTCTACCATATTTTCTTTAGATAAAAATAACATTTTTGTCCAAGGCAATTAAGTACATTATTTAAACCATAATATCAAAATCTTCCCCCTGTTAAAAACCATTTTCTATAGCTCAATATACTACCATTAAAAGATTTCAGGAAATAGATAAGAAATAATAGGGTAAAAAAATTCTACATAATAAAAACATCTCAATATTTTTTTATATCCTTCCAGGTGCCCAGATACTCATAAAAAACAGCCCACAGAAATTACTGATATTGTATACATACAATTATAGATAGTAGACAATTAGATTTAAAACATGTGAAATGTAGTTTCAGTTTTAAGACCAAGCTTAATAATTGCAGAAAATAAAACCTAACTCTAAAAAAATTCAGGCAGCAGGCCATTCCCATTGCTTTAAAAAAAAGTCTTTGGGATGTGTTGAAAAGAAAAGCAACTGTGTCATTAAAGAGAGACTCAAAAATAAAGGACCTTTAGAAAGAAAGAAGGCGGGGCGGGGGGCGGGGTGCAAATCCAGGGAAAGAAAGACATCTGAGACAAAAGGACAGATTTTGTTTTGTTTTGTTTTGTTTTTGACTTAGAGGCAAAGATTCAAGCCACAGTTGAGACTAAATAAATAAAACAAGTGACAAATACAAACTTGAAAGAATATGGCAGCTGACCCTTGAATAACATGGGTTTAAAGCACAAGTCCACTTATACAGATATTTTTTCAATAAGTAAGTACAGTATTGTAAATGTATTTTCAATTCCTTGTAATTTTCATAGTAACATTATTTTGTCCAGCTTAATTGTAAGAACACAACACAATACATGTAACATGAAATATGTGTTAACCAACTGTTATTGTTAAAGCTGCTGATCAACAGTGGGCTCTCAGTAGGTAAGTTTATGGGGAGTCAAAGTTATACTCAGATTTTCAACTATATGGTAGTCAGCACTGTTCAAGGATCAACTGTACACAATATATACCCCATGGACAAGTGGCCCACCTTAGAAACACCTTAAATATAATTTGTACTCAAACCTGTTCTTTCATTTAGCCTCTTCTATGAGTGTTCATTTAAAAAATGGTGTCACGTGAAGGAGGAAAAAAAGGAGTAAGATTTAAGTAATCTAATCCCAAAATGTGAACATGAAAAAAATCTGAAAGTTATTCCTTTGCTCCATTACTTTTCAAGAAATCTTTAGGTGAGCTCAATCTGTAGAGTTCATAACTATGTTGGAAAATACAAGTAACAAAAAGAGGGCACTGTCATAAAAACTTACATTAATTAGTTAATAATTAAGAAACACAATTATTGACTATGTTTTCTGAAGAAAACACTACTAAAAATGTCAAAAAAAGTATACTTTACGCAACATTTCTCCCCTCTGTTACCATACGCACAACATTCACACAAACAGAAATTCTGTATATGTATGCATGTCAAAGACATTTTTAAAATATCAATGAACTGAAACTCATGAGGTTCAGATAGGAAATTTTGAAAAACTATTTTTTTCTTCATATTTGATTTTTATGTCTCAATTCATTTTCTATGCTTTCATTTGGAAATTTCCTTGTTCCTCTCATTAAGACACACTGGTTCACTTCATTTGTCTCTGTTCTGAAGACAAAATAGGTAACATTTCTATATTGCCAGAAATAAATTTAAAGCCATCTGGAAATATAACCTAATAAATAGACATTATACTTACATAATAACAAAATGTGTGGTACATCATAAACCAAATGCCTGAGTGACTCAAATTTTGAATACATTAAACAAAAAAGGTATCTCCCATCCATGGACATGAACAATGGTGTGGGGACTGACTGTGGGAGCCGGGGGTGGGCTGGGCGGAAGAGGGCAAGGGGGTAAAAAGTGGGACAACTGTAATAGTGTAAACAAGAATAAAAAAATAATAAAATTTGTAAAAAGGAGAAATACATTGCCTTGTGATGCATACTCCTGCTAAAATGTCTCATATTTCATAAAAATAGTTTTAGAAATAACATTTCAAGAATTATGGGACACCTGACTGAGAGAAGCCACTCACCTCTACAAGTCGATCTCCTGCCTTAAGCCGACCATCTTGGATGGCAGCCCCTCTGGGGAGGATGTTTTTCACATAAATTGGAGCTGAGCCTCCTATTGTTACATCTCTAGAAGTGATGCTGAATCCCAAACCTTCTGTACCTAAGTATATAGCAGCAGCGGGGGCGGGGGACAAATAAAATGAGATCTTGAAGTTTACAGGTGTATTACACATAAAAGATCTATTGTTATTCTCTACACCAACTTGATATTTTGTAACTTGCCTACATTTCTTCTAATGCTTTAGAAGTTGTAATAGATTTTTCAAAATAGACTGAATTCTGTAAGGTTTAAATGGTTTACATATCAAAATTCATTATTTTAAGAAGAAATGGGAATCTGACTAAAGACAGATGAAAGATAATATACAGATACAAAAATATGGATACTAAAAGTTTTTAAAATGGTCTTTAAACCTTTGATTATGAAAATAAATTTCTCTATGACAAAAAAATAAATAAAAATTTTCTGTTAAAACCCACAGTACCTCAATTAGCAAATATTATTATGGAATAAATGGTATCCAAAGTTGACAGGTAGGAGGTGGAGGGGAAGAGAAATGTTCAGGGAGATGAAAAAAAATAATGTTTTCTAGATACAGATAACAGAATCTCCCCAAACTATAATTAGTCACAGCAATTTACCAACAGGATGAAACCTATTATATTTGCCTAGTTCCCTTCTAACTCACCTAAATCTGACCATTAAAAGAACAAAAACCAAAAACAAAAACAAAAACAAAAACAAAAAATACCCAGGGAGGAACCCATCACAGATCATATCTACCAAGTCTGAGAATCATCATAGCACATTTAAAGGTACTGAACTTAATGAGGCATTTAAAACACTGTGCTGGTTTGCATTTTTCAAATGCTAAGTTCTTTGGCAACTTTCTTGACAGACACTCTTATAAGCTCAGCACAGGGTAGGATAATGATATATGTCACTGGAACTGACATGTAAGAGGTCAAAATGAGCCAAGAAAAAAATGGGAAGATAATTTCTAATGAATCAGAACTTTTATAAAGTCTCTATGATTAATTTCTACTAAAGGTTTTTAAAATGTCAAGATACAATAGGTTCCATTTTAGTTAAAATATTAGGACAAATATTTGCTCATAAAAGGATGAATAAAAAGATGTGTAAAGGTGCAAAATGTATAGAATTTATTCATTTGATGATGTCATCAGCACAAAACAATAAGCAAGAGCATATATTGAATAAGTCAACAAACAAATATGGGCAAATAAATATGAGTGAATAATTGGGTTAAAGAAGAAACAAAGTAGAAATTAAAAATATAGTAATTATACCTATAACAAAGCAAAAATGAAGAAAATAATAATTATAGCAGTAAATATTTTCAAGTACAAACAAAACATTCATTTGCTGCAAGTCTGAAGTCACTTAAATATGCCTGGACTGTTAATCTCTGAAGTCTTCTGTGAAGACTTGAACAGTATATGAAATTTTCCTAATTATTCTGCTGGGACTTTTCCGTATGTTTCTGTGCTTTCGTGAAACTCTAATGACTTGTAATAACATTTATTTAGAAAAAATTCTAAATTATCCTTCTTTTGCAATATTAATTTGTATCAATTACAAAGACTGAATGAATCTTAATACTACTAAAATATCAACAAAAATCCCTAAATGTGTAAGCTAAGAGTTCAGGCAACAACCTTTAAAAAAAACATACATAGATATCAAATTTCATTTAGCAAAGCCAACTAAATATTTTCCACTGACTGATACAAATTACTGATCTTTTCTCCTAACTTTATTAAAAAGCTAATTTCTACAAAAGGGCAGGGCATTTGAGAATTCCAAAATGGCAATAAATATCACAAAATCTTAACTATGGAAGCAAGTACTTTGTGGCTGTGCTATTGACATAGTTTCAAACTTATGTCTAAGAATCATTATAATGAAGCCTTCTCTCTCTTTTTTAAATAATTTTTTAACTTATTGACTTGAGTGAGAGACAGAGAGAGGCATCTGTTTGTTGTTCCATTTATTTATGCATTCACCATTCACAGGTAGATTCTTCTACGTGCTGACCAGGGATGGAACCTGCAACCTTTGCTTAAAAATTAGGGCCTGTCATTTGAGTAGAGAAAAAGAAAGAGGATCTGCTATTTCTCACTTAGGAATTAACAGAGCTAAAAGGGGTTTATACTGATATGACTCTTTTGTCTTAAGGGATTTCAAAAGTGGAGTAAAGCTGTCAAGACCTGATCGTGTCCACCAAGTATTTGGGACTTAAAAACTAGCAACCAGAAATAAGGAATTTGTGGTTCACATAAAGTTCAGTGAAAGAACATGATTTGGAAAGGAAATAGGAATCTCAGAGTTTACAAGCTTGAAAACCCTACATCAAATGGAAAGAAAAGTTGTCTAAATGTCAAGCTATGGAATGCGCTAGTAGGAAACTATTGCGAGAAGCAGCCAAGTAATATGAGGAAATCAGTTAACCTCTCTTGGGTTCACTTCCATCTAACTGCAGAAATTGGTTGAGCTGTTAAAAAAAGAAATATTTGTATAATGACACCATTTTGAAAGACATAATTTTAAAACATATCAAAATGATCATCTAAAATAGATGACTGATAGCAAAAAGTGTATCTCAATGCCTGGAGAGGGCAGCAACTGGAAATCAGAAAGCCAAGTCTAGCATCTGCTCTGAGTAGTGGGGGAGGTCAAAATGTAAGGTGTGCTGCTTCTTGGCCACAAGGATCCATGGCCTATAGGACAGGGATACTTAAAAAAATAAGTTCCTATAAGGTATATGTAAAACGGGATTAGCAATGCCAATGATAATTTCCCTGTAACCGTAAGAAATAGAAGCAATGTAATATTCTGGAACAACAGCCTAACTTCTCCTCATTCTACAAGTCACTGACAATGTCAGAGGAATCAATCACTTCCTATCACCAAAATGACAGGGTTAAAATGGAGGACCTCTCCAAAGGCCTCATCAAGTGGGGTGATCAAGACAATCAAATCCTCACTCTTGTTTTGGGTTTGAATGTTGACATCCTGAAATCATTTCCCTTCATTGTTAAAAATTTTGCTGCAGTAGTAATCGCTACCTTCTTCACATAAACTTCTGTTTTAAAGCCTTATTCTCCAAACATTTGAATTTTTATATAACAAAATGAATCTGAAAAGCATAAAAATATATTTAAATACTTTTTTTTGAATAAGTCGTATCACTTCTTTCACACAATGGGATAAAACTTAGGGCACCTTCATTTAGCCCATGCAGTTTAGAATAGAATCCATCAAACAAAAACAAGATAGGTTTTACCTTTTTTAAGCTGGATATTCAGCCTCTTGCCTATTTTTTTAGTGTTATAACCACTGCTTACACTTGTACTAAACACAGTTTGTGGTGCTGGGGCTGGAGCTGCCGGTGGTTTTCCTGAGGGCTGTGTGCTCTGAGGTAGTCGTGGGTGCGAGTCCATCTGCTCAGCCTGGGGGGTCAGTTTGGGCGCTCTCTGCAGTGCCTGAGGCCCTGCACTATTCACACTTCTGTTATCAATGTACTGGCTGTCAGGGCTGAAGCGGCTTGAATAGTAATTGTTCTTCTCACTTTGGGAGAGTTGTTCATACTGCTCTTTATTTGCTGCAGGAACCACATGGAACCAAATGATGGGTGTACGCATGGCTTGGCGAAACATATGCTGTGCTCTAGGTTTCAGAATGAATGGAAAATTAGCAAATTAAGACTGGTAGATTAGAAGATTTTATGAACTTAAGTATACTAATTAAGAAACAAGAAATGACACACTTTGTTGAAACTGAAAAACAAAATTCTGATATCCCATTTATCAATTAAGTTTGCAACCTCTGATAGAAGCATAGCTGTTTGTCCAAATATGTATTACTTATTCTCTAAATAAAAATAACTGCATTATCACAACTACAGATAAAATACTGTGCTCTGAACTGTAAATCATTAAATAGTTTTAAGTACAATGGCAGTATTATAATTTCAATATTAATAGAAATTAAATACAACCCTCTCTCTACATTATCCAATATCACTTTTAAAAATTATAAAATATTTCTTTACAGTGGGCCCATTGGAGTTTTTAAGGAAATATACTTAGAAATGTACAGAAAAAATAGAAAGCACATTATGTATCTGTGAAATTAATTCAAGTCTGTGTGTGCAAAAATCCTAGGAATACCAGTGTGGCCTCAGTGACTCAGAACGTTAGGGTTCACTGGCCTGGTGCTATTCCGTGCCAGCCTGAGAAGCTGCTCTGTCTCATACTGACTCCCCAGACCTTATGATTTCTGTTCATTCTTTCCTTATTTAATTTTTTTAAAGATTTTATTTATTTTTAGTGAGAGGGAGAAAGAGAGAGAGAGAAACACTGAAATCAGACAGAAACATCAATCAGTTGCCTCTTATACATGCCCCAACCAGAGACAGAACCTGCAACCCAGGCATGTGCCCTGACCTGGAATCAAACTGACGAACATTCACTTTGCAGGATGACATCCAACAAACTGAGCCACACCAGTTAGCGCTCACCTTATTTTATAAGAACTGGACAACTTCATCGTTTTAATTGAATAAGGACACTTGAATCAGGATAAAGAAAATCTGAGCAGACCACTTCACTGATTCAAAGAAGCTTTGTCTGCTTATTTTGAACTGAGAGACATTATGTGAGGTAAAATTGAAAATGTGAGTTAAAGTATAATATAAACAGTGCCCTGGTGAATTTTCCAAAAGGTGAGGAAGTAGCAAAATTGTAAAGCCTAAATTGGACCCATATATTTTAAAAGGGACTCTACCAGTCAAAGGGCATTTTACAATACAGTCTAATGGCAGTAATTACCTAGAGTTTGATTAAGCGTTTAAAAGCTACATAATGACAGAAAATACTTCTCTCCAAGATAAAAACAGAGACCACAGACATCTTGTGGAAAGCATTTCAACCACTGCTCTCTGTCATGCCTAAAGCATGAAGCTCAGTAGTGCAACCAGCACACACTTACTGTTCAAATCTTCTATTTCGGAGGTCGCCATCATTAATCCTGACAATGCAATCATTCTCATGAAAGAGGTTTTCTTGTTCCGCTTTACCACCTTTTTCCAATCGTTTCACTAATAACCCCAGTGTTCTGGAACAGTAAGAATGCAAATCATTACACATGTACTATTCCTACAGTGTACAATACCTCACTGCTTTAATGTCAGTTTTATACAATATTTATAAAGATTTCCTAATAAAGAGGTATACTAAATTGCTACTTACACATTTTAAAACTAACATGACAGAAAAATTAAAACATTATAAATGGTGTGTAGAAAGGAATCCTTTCAAAAAATATAACAAATCATTTCCAGCTTGTCAGTATTATGCTTCTAAACAAGCTGTACACTTTTTTGTATGCTGAAAAATACTTCAGACAGAGCTCGCCTGATGGTTCGGTGGCTACCACAGTGTGGGGCAGGGACGAGCATGTACCTGTGCACAGGTCTGGCAGGTTTCTGCTTTCAGCCAGTTGGTACATGGCTGATGGCAACCTTCATCTCGCCAGGGAAGAAAAGGTAAGGAGAAAAGACTACCTCAGCACATTGTACATTTGAAAAGCAAAATAGGAAAGATGTAAGAATAGAACAGGTATCTAAATTTGATAGTGCCTAATATTCTGAATTTCACAACGCGTTACATCTCCCTAAAGTACTTTGTTGCCATTATTCCCATTTGAAGAAAACCAGTAACAAGTTCAAATAATGCCACACACTCATCTCTCCAACCTATATTCAAACGTCAGGCTGAAAGAAAAGCCTGAATGAACTTGTAGAAACCAATATGGAGGGGAGAACAATAAAAATTACCTGCATACTTGGTCTGGAACACTAACTATTTGACAGGAAGGACATTATACATTCCTCAGAACAAACAACAAAAACTTTCTATGCTCACAGTATAAGGAATGGGAATCTTTACCAAGTTCCAATGCTCTGATTTACTGGATGGTTAGCATATAGTCTATATCCTAATCATGTTGAAATTTTTATGAACTTATTTTTGGCCTGTCCAAAGTTTGTATTTTCTTTAATAATCCTAACATTTGGAGAAAAAAAATGTGCATATCAATACTACAACTTAGAATCCTGCATAAATTAAAGTTGAAGACACCACCATTTCCAGTAACCTATTTATATTTTCCTTTGCAGTATCCTATATATGTTTTCCAGTGACATATACCCAAAGAGTTTCTTCTTTTACAGTAATTGTTATCAGTTCTTTGGCCAGGTACCTGACACCTCTCTTACAGTTACTGATAGACACACTTTATCTCTACTATTGCACTGTAAGCTCCTGGAAGATAGAGAAGAGGGGATTTGGCAATATATGCTCAAGTACTTATCTAGCAGTAAATTCTTGATAAATAACAATGGGATGAATGGATGATTGAGTGTGGCTGTGGCAAATTAAGTCTCATTTCTAATTAGCTTTCTGCAAAATAAAATGCAAGTGAAATGAAACTGAGACCCATATTCTTTTTTTCATGCAGCAGTCACTTATACCAGATATACAACTGAACTGAAGTAAATTGAACTGCAGCAAAGGTCCTTTTTCACTTATTTTGCCATTTAATATTGTTTCTTTCATGAATGTTTACAGAGCCATTGTTTAATTTCATTATAATTTTATTATTCAATATAATAAAGAGGTATTGTGTTTTACTATGGCAAAGTCTACCAACTTGCAAGAATAGTAAGAAATGGTAATATTTAAATTGCCTTTTGTAATTTTACCTTTTCAGGATTATCATCTACTAGAGTAAGAATCTAAAAATCTTGTGACTGATAAAAATAGTAGTATGTAAGTGATTTTTAGGTATTACTGCCATATATTGGAACTAAATAAATATAAAAATTCTCTGAGTTCAAGGTAATAATAAATACTGACATATCTGCATGAGCAACTTAACTGAGTTTGTATTTCGAAGAAAGAAATTTCATAACATGCCACACAATAATGACATTATTGTTAAATTTCGCAGTGCCCACAATCTACCTCCTTGTACTTCTCTATTAAGTTGTTCCTATGTACAATTGAACAGTGCTCTATCAGAGGAATCAAATTAAGATACACCTATCATTCTGTTGAATAGGACAAAATAACTTGAGAAATCAAATTAAATCACAGTTACTGATAATAGTGGAATAAGTAAAATCTACTATCAAAGAAAAAGATGACTGAGCCACTCACAGGCAATCAGGACATAACCACACATGTGGTGCCGCACCTGTGGCTACAAGCCGCTTTGATAGACCAAGATCATTTTTTTAAAGTGCCTGCAGGCAGTTCCTGCAGTAAAAATTCATGCTACCAAGAGTCGCTTAGTTTCTATAATCGGTGAAATCATAATTACAACTTTTCTGCAACCTAAAGTAATAATTATGTTTTAATATGTACTTAAATATTTTGTGGATTCTAAGAGAATCCACAGCATATTTTTAGGGGAAAAAATATATAGACTATGTGTAATAGAAATTACTTAGCAGTTAATTAATATTGATCATTTAAATTTATAAATTTATCCGTGATAGATCCTTTCAGTATTTATGACAGTTAAAATAATATAACTTGAAAGTCTGGAATTTAACTCTACAAGTGGCATCGATATTTTTCAGATAATTACTTTACTTTTTAAATTTACTTTTCCTTCCAGGAAATCACTCTAGAATGATGATCCAAAGTTAAAAAGAGAGAGAGAGAGAGAGAGAGACAGACAGACAGACAGACAGACATGCTTCATTTATTGAATGGCTTATCTTTCTGAATAAGCCCTCATATATGGCCAAATGCATCAATTATCCTAACATAGTAAAAAATATTACAAATCATAAATAGACAACCTACCATGCTTACATTATAAGAGAGGTTTATTAAATGAGGCTTTTAGAATCCACCATTGTTAAAATAGTCATGAAAATCTCAGAATCCTATTTCTCAGCCCTAAAGACAAGAGAAGTGATGCAGGTTGGCAGTGGAGCGGGGGTGGTAAGAAGAGGAAGAATTTCACTCAGAGTGACAGGTCAAGTGATGAGGGAATCAATGAACAGTCTGAATTAAGAAGTTAGTAGCTTGCTGATTTCTAAGTATATGACCACACTATTAGAGTCATTCTCTCAAAAAGAATGGATTAATTTGAAAATAAAGTAGTACAATCTGCAAAATTATCTCATTTGCTTCGCTAGGTGAAAATAATTACAAAAGGAATAGGAATGAATTATCAAAAAAACTTCACAGGAAAATTGAACTGATTAACAGCTAGAATGAGAACGAACAGTACCCTCTGAAGGGAAATCAATGGGAAGTAATATCAGATCCTTTCATCTTCCTGGAAAATGTGTGTGTGCAAGCAGATATAGTTCCATACCTCCCACATTCCATCTAAAGGCATCTCAAATAGTATATATAATTAAGAACAATTAAGGTTAATATTTTGAAAATGCAATCAGCAACTAGAACTTGTTCTGAAGTAATAAAGAGTTGACTACCTGTGGTGTCACGGTTCCTGCAACACTTTCAGTAGAGAGTAACTGAAGCTAATAAACTTCAGGACATTTTAGCAAGTCAATGTGCTGGAATACAGAGTAGTTTTTCACCTTGGCAACTACCAGAATTCCTTATTAGAAGCAACTGTTTCCCATCAGAAGAAACCACTTTGCAAAACTAAATAAAAAACAGGGGTGATGGAAAGGAAGGGTTGGGCAAGCTCTGCTTGGGGGAAACCATCCAGGAACAGAACCCACCACCCAGATAGGCTGGGCTGACGGTCACAGGGGAAAACACTTTGGTGCACTAGTTACTGCAGCACAGCAGATTTATGAAGATATGTCCAGAGGGTTTTCGGGGTATGTGAAACACAATCTCCTTGACCCCCTAACCCCATGAATCTAATGTAAACCCAATGAAGCAGATATGCTTTTTAGCAAATAAATATTTTTTTCCTGTAAATCTAAACATCCCAAACATACTGCTCTTCTACTGTTTCCTATACCTTTTTCAAAATTGGGGGGAAAATACTGTATCTACCATGTACAAACCTCACTTCTGAATAACGTTTCTAAAAAATGCCGATACACATATTTATGTTAAGCCTTTCTTAACGGCCTTTGGATGTTTCTTACAAACACATACACACACACACACACACACACACACACACCCCCGCCCCAATAGGAAAATGAGGACAGAGTCACAGAAAGCAAGCTGCTGAAAAACCGCATCTTTGCACATGATTTTGGATGCATAATTAGAAATTTAACTACTTAGATTATATTAAGGAGTGCACCACTACATTTTTACAAGGTTCATTAGCCTAATTATACACTTAATTAAAACAAATTCAGTCACGCATGTTAACATTTTCAATTCTAAGTATAAAGTACTACCAATGATAAAACTGAAAATAAGTAACAAATGTTTTATTGACATCTAAATTGACTAAGCAAGTTTGAGTTTTACTTTGATAACACAAATTCCCACAACTGCCACCCAGCTGTATGGAAATGATTACAATTCTTCTTGATAAAAACTGATACAGTATGAACACCTCAACTGCAGTGAAATCAGAGGAAGATTGCACAGAATGGGTCCCATTGCCAGACCTTCTCACCTCACTGAGCATGAAACATGAGAGGTTGCAACAACCTACAGCTGATCCCTGAGAACCACAGCCTCTGTTTTAGGCAACATATACAAAAAAAAATTAACAGAAATCCAGGTTAAAATAAAATCTTGATTAAAGCTTTAATCGATGAGATGAAACAGACCCCAAAAAAGTAAACAAAAATAAAGAATTTCTTTAGGGCAGAAATGACAGGCATCATACTGCTAGATTTAAAGAAGCAAAACTTATCTTAATCTAAAACACAACTTTTCTCCCAAAAACATGTCCATTTATTATGGTCCTTTATTGGAACAAACAATTCTGTAGCTGAGAGGTACAACTGAAAACTTTCAGAGAAAAGACATCTGATTCAGTAAACATAAATTGTTCTTTTACTAAAGTAGGTAATTAAATTACAAATGAGTGCTCAAAGTTCAAGACCATATTTTTCCTTTTTAAGGTAATATTAAATTTTAAAACTCTAC